GAATTTTTTCAACACAAAAGATATGGTTTATTTTATCAGCTAAATATTATCCGATGACCACCCAAATTGGTGGGCTTTTTCCCAGCCCTAAACTCTAGCTACACACGAAATTCGATTGGTCTATAGTTGCGACCTGTATAGCAACTGCAAAATCCGATATTTTTTCAGTATTTGGTCCATTTCGACCCCTAAATATTATGCGATCATCTCCGAAAGAAATAGGGTTCTATTCTGACCCTAGCCCCACCTCCATTTTAAATTTCGTGAAGATCGGACCATAATTGCGACCTGTAGAGTGATTACAAATTAACATGGACAGATGGACAGATGGACAGACGGACAGACGGACGGACGGACATACATAGCTAGATCGACTCAGCTCGGCGAGCTAGGAAGATCCATATATACTTTCCTATATGGGAAACCAATATTTCGAGGTGTTACATAAATTCTGGCCCAATCAACACATAGTGTTGTAGGGTATAAAAACAAGCAAAAAAGCTGGGCCGAACTTTGAATATCCTCCAGCATTTGGAACGAATTTGGAAATTTTCGAAATCCGTTAAAAATTCAGTTAAAATCTAAAAATGCCAAATGTAGCCCTTATATTAGAGTTTATACGACGACGTGGACCTGCGTAGGCAACATTTGTCATAAGCCATTACAATATTCAAATGTGAAATATAGGGAGGTACCATTATATGGAGCCTATAGCAAAACATGGACCTGCACAGACACTTTTCTGTTATAGCCTGTGGTATCCATTACGAACTTAAAATACCAAATTTGAAACAATTCCGGTAAATAATGTCGCTAAAATCATTATAGTACCGAATATCGGGAGTTACCGTTATATGGAGGCTATACGAAAACCTGGATCTGCACAGACAATTTTCTGTGTTAGGCTGTAATATCCCGTACGAACTTTAACGTCACAAAAATCATCAAAATACCGAATTTCGGAAGGTGCCGCTATATATGGGGCTATACGAAAACCTGGACCTGCACAGACAATTTTCTGTCACAGGCTGTAGAACCTAATAGGAACTTCAATTTGAGGCAATTTCGGTGAATAATTTCGCTAAAATCATAAAAATACCGAAAAACCTGCACCTGCGTAGAGAATTTTTTGTCACAGACTGTAATAGCCATTACTAAGTGCAAATACGTAGTTTTAAACCATTCCGGTGAGTAATGTCGGTAAAATGATCATGTATAGAGAGGTACATTTATATGGAGGCTATATCTAAACGTTGACTTATATAGCCCATTTTCAATACTGCAGATCAAACACACATTTAAGTAAAATTTTATTAACCTACTTCATTTCGTTCGACGGCTAGAGTGATTTCCACAGACCGGCATGCAGACGGAAGGATATCGCTAAATCGACATAGAATTGTATGCCCATCAAAAATATATATTTCGAGGTGTTACAAACGTAATGACAAACTTAATATACCCTCCATACTATTGTGGAAGATATAACAAGTTAAAAATATTAGCCGGTTTTGCCAACAGAAGTACACCCTCAACCAATGTTCGATTATTGAAACATATTTCGGCTTCTCTTGTGATTATTCACATTGTTGACTCTCTATGGAGAAAGTTCCGAAGTAATGGGCCAATATTGCACATTTCGCACTAAATATGATATAAATATTACGACGTGCCAGATTTGGGCTATCTCGACTTTTATGAGCTTCGTAGCTGTTCAAAAGGTTGACCCTTTGTGGGGAAGGTACCAGAAGGAATGGTCCGATCTCTACCATCTTTATAACATATCTTGTGTTGATAGAAATATCAAGATGTGCCAAGTTTGAATGGAACCGGATGCCAGCCATCCAGACAGACAGACAGGTGGACGGACGGACACCTCTCTATAGTCTCCAAGTGTCCTGAATCGAATTTAATCCAAAGAGACCTAGGGTCTAAAACCATTATTTCGATGAGGCACGTTTTGATCGAATCAAATGATATATACCCTATGTAGTCAAATAGCTGAGTGAATAAAAAGTATGTTAAAAAGGTGGATAATATGACCAAAATATCAAATATGCGAAGGTACCGCTTTATGGGTGGTGAAGTAATCTGTCATTACAAACTCTAAACTCTACCGAATATGGGGAGGTATGGTTACATGGGGGGCTGCAGGCAAACGTGGACCTATATAGACAATAATCTCCCACGAAAAGCAGAAGCCATTACCAACTCTAAGTAGCAATATAGCCCTCACATCATTTAGCCGTTAGAAAATACGGCTAAAATGATGTGAGGGCTATTTAAACGTGAACCTATGTATACAATGATCTGACGCAGGAGGTAGAACCTGTGACAAACTGTAAATGTCGAATTTTAAACAATTCTGGTAGAAAAAGTGACCTAAATTCCGTATATCAGAGTGCACGGTTATATGGGGCTATTCTACAAGGTTGATCGACATGGTCCATTTACGAACTTATCCTGTCTACTGACAAAAGCCAGATACATATGTGCAAAGTTTTAGCCTTCTATCCCAATTCGTGATTACAACAGACAGGCGAACATCGCTAGATCGAATTAGAATTTTACCCTGATTGAAAATATATTTACGAAGTATATGTTGGAGGATATAAAAACGACAATGATGGCTCTGTTGATGTAGAAAATCTCTTAGAACTCACGTTTATAATTTTTGTATTTTGTTTAAATCCGCCATTTTATTACCTAAGAATGTCCACAATGTTCTTTTTTTCAAATTTGCTATTTTTTTTAAATAATTATTAACGAAAGATTCCTTATAAATTCAGAATGATAGAAAACATACGATTGAAAAAAACATCAATTGAAAAAAACAGAATTATGTGAGAAAAAAGAACATTTTTGAGCAACGACAAAATTAAGGATAATTGTAAAAAAAAATAAAAAATCTTAAAAGTGCATATTTCTTAGAGTTTACGGTGATAGTAAATATCCTTAAAAATCCACAATTGTGACTATGCTGTTCTCTGACTGACTGCCACTAGTTATAGAAAACTAATTCGCCATCATTATTATTCTCATCTAATCTCCATTTCCATTTCTAAGAGTTTTTCTCTTCAATGATAACCTTAAAATACCTTAGAGCAAATCACTTAAATAGTTAAACAAGTTACCAATCTACAATGAAATTGCTCCTGTAATCATAAAACATAACATACTCTGACACTCATACACACACACATTAAAATACTCACGACATGGTAAATTGCCAAAACACCAACAACAGCAGCAGCAGCAACAACAACAATAACGGAAACAGAAAACACATGGGTATATGCAAAACATGTCTACACTAATGATATAAATTCAATTCTCTGCAATACATGTTCGCCGACCTCACACACACACCCTCACCTGCTCGTACATCATCAGTCTCCCAATAACACTTAACTGGTGTATAACGGTAACGGATGTTAAAACACACAATGATAAATTTGTCATCTCCCACCTAGGAATTACTCTGAGTTATCTGAGAGAGAGAGGGGAGAGAACGCGATAAAAACACAGGAACTTTGACACAGTGGCTGGCTGGCTGTGTTTGGTTTGTTTGATTGTTGATCTTTTACACGCTGCTGTGTTTTCGCCATTGTTTAATGTCATTGCTAACAAATTTGTGGTAAATGTTCATGTTTTGTCGCGGTATTCATTCGTCTATTTCATCACTTGTACGTTCATTTGTTTTCCAGCCACATTTGCGTATGTGTGTGTGTGCCATTCTTCTATTCATGTTAGTTGCTGTTGTTGTTTGAATTTGAATACCAGCTGTGTCCTGAGTTTGGGTTTTTGTCACACATTGAACTTTGAGCGCGAATGTAATTGTGGTTGTTTTGAGTTCAAATGATGAATAACCGACACGTATTCGATTTGACGAATTATGGGAATCTATGAAGGTAGTTATGTACACACCGATGTATAAATGAAGTATAAGCGTGGATTTTATGAGCAACATTTTTTTAACACACTAACAAAGAGATGATAGTGGATTTTTTACAACATTTTTTGGCGAAGTTGAGATAAACAAAAATACAATGTCGTTGTTATTTTAACAATATATTTTTATGTCATAGACTTTGAAATACCTTTTTTCCAAAAAGTGGATTTATTAAATAATAGGTCTGTCTGGTTAATGTCCAAGATATGTATGAAAGAAAGGTGGTATTCTCTTTCTCCGCCATATCTCAAATCCAGGCACCAACAGGGACCCCAATATCTAATTTGAGGATTTCAGCCGTATCCTAATGTACTACCATTTAGTACTTCTAGTACAAACCGCCGCCGAATCTCAAACACAGATAGCATCAGTAAAAATAACTGGGCAAACCTAATACGACAAACCTTAAACGATGTGGAGTGGTTTGAAAAGTTGTAATGTCCATCACACATTTTTTAATCAAACAAATATTTAATGTAACAATAACTCGTCGGGGTTGCGTCTTAGCTGCAGTAAAAAGTGTGGACCGCACGTCGTTTTACTATTGATATATTTTCACATATAGATGGCTCTCTACTTCGATACTTGACATGTTAGCATTGTTCCTCATTCCCGCAACTTCACATAACTTGGCAGTAAGATTGCCACGACAAAAGGGAAAATCGATTATCATAGTCAAAAGTTTTACATACTTCCAGTTCTAGAACAGAGCAATAAGCATTGCCTAAGTCTTTTAAATTTTGTCACATCGGTCGGAAAACTGCTCTTTTGGCTCCACAAACAAGATTTTTCAATAATTTATACAAATTATTAAAAATAATTGAATTATCGTGGACTCAAATAGACACAAGAAATAAAATTATCGATAGTACCACGGATATCATATTCGATTGTGTCTCTTAGCTATGTATCCCTAATACACCAGCTGGCTGTTGGCCGTTATTCATTACACACATTCGTAAACAAAAACTTGTCGCTTATTTTATTTTCAACTTAGCCTTTATCGCTCACTCTCTTTGCCATTCTTATTTGAATCTATTTGGAACGTTTTCCAATTTGGTTAGTTCAAAGATGGCTGAAAACGTCAAAGAAGTGTGTAAAGACGAAAGTGAAAAGAAAGTAAAGAAATAAAGTATCATAAATTGTCCATAAAAATTAAATAATGTAAATATATAATCAAGAAAGTACACAAGGAAACGGAAAAGTTTTCATGTTTTGCTTGGTCATTCAACAGCAGCGCGAAGCCAAACATATGTGAAGCAGAGGGGAAAATTTATTTCAAAACACATATTTGGGGGAAAGAAAATATCCTTCTCCCCTTTGGTAATTGATAATATACAGCTGCTGTGCACACCTAAAAGGTTGACAAGACCCCCTTGGAAAGTGTTACAGCCAAGGACACACATACATACACACCAAAACATTAGAAATGGCATCAACGATGCAGCTGGAATTCGCCCAGGTTAGTAGGGACTATGATTCCTGTATAATTAAAGCTAAAGTTTTTTCGTTTATTTCCAGGCGATGTCGGATTTCAAAATTATGTTTCCCGACATGGATAGGGATGTGATTGAGGCGGTATTGCGTGCCAACCAAGGAGCTGTGGATGCCACAATTGATCAGCTGCTGCAAATGTCAACAGATAATCAGGTGAGTGGAGCATGGAATTCTGTTTTTGGAAATGTTTATAATTATGAATGTTTTTTGCATTGCGTTTAGAATGAAAAACTACGCAACGAATTGGAAAATGTTTCGCCCCAAAGAAGTCTCATCAATTTGAGCGACAGTGATACAGAGGCCGCCAGTCGTACTAACCGGCAACCAGCCACCGGGCAATTAATTGATGTGGATGATATTGATGGCATTAGCGGTGGTGGCGGTGGCGTCACTGGGCCTGTAGACAAATCTCTGCCCTCCGCTGGAGTTTTATTAAATCTGGGCACTAATTCACCAAATCACAGCACAACAGGCGCCTCACCGAAAGTGAGACCGCCTGCCCAATTGCAATCTCAAAAATCCTCCCAGGGTAGTACCCCCAAACGTATGCAAACAAATCGTAGCCAGGCTACAGGCATCAATCGACGATGGAACCCACCCATGTTGTTGCCTTTACCTTCAACATTTTTACGACTCAATCCCATTGGCAGTGGTGGGGGCAATACAATTGCCCTGCCCTACGACCCCAATCGAGATTTCGATTTACCCGATGAACAGTTTGCCATGATGCTGCAAAATGAGGAATTCATGAATCAACTGCGCATCAATCAAGAATTTATGAATGCCCTGGAAAAGGAGCATGCCGGCAAGGGCAAGCCGGATGGTGATGCTGATTTTAAGGAACGTCTAAAACACATGGGAAAAATGTCACGTAAGAAATTCCTACAAATGGCCCGGGTGTTTACTTGGCAGCGTAACAAAAAAGTAACCACAGCCAAGCAGATTGATTCGTTGCCATTGAAAGAAGAGCCCAGCGACGATGAGGAAAATCATCACCATCATCAGGCAAGGAATAACATCTCCGGTGATCATTCTCACACACAAAGTTCCCAACAGCATCAGCAGCAACAACAACGTAAGTAAGTTTTCAAAGTGTTTGGCTAGCAGGCTACCAAAACATCAAAAAAGAGCCCCAACAAAGAATCGTTGATGGCAGAGTATTCCTTGAGACAAAGAAACAAAAAAAGCATAGAAACGAACAAAAGCAAAGTGTAGAAATTTCTTAAGATTGCTTATCATTATAATTTAATTTGTTATCATAAGGCTTGTTATAATTTTTAATTATGTTTATTTTTGGATAAAATCAAATCTCAAATGAAACGCAATTATACTACTAAGGCAGGCATACATACATAGTAACATGTAGGTATGAACGTAAGATACTTCACATACATTATCGAAATGTTGTTGTTTAGCGTAAACAAATGTATATCGCATAGAAAGAAACAAACTAAAAAGACGTTAACACGGGAATCTCATTTTTCTCCTTTGATTTTTTTTTATATTATTTGTGTCATATTGTAAAACATTCGATATTAGATTTTAACTGGCAACTCTTTTTTCTTCTTGTACCAACTAACCTTTTTATAAACGAGTATATATTTTGATATATTTTTATCTCAAAGTGTCATTGAATGGAATTTTGAACATCACAATTATTTTTATTTTTTGATCTGAGTTTATTTTGCTTCCTCTACTGTAGAACTATAAGATCTATAGTTTATTTTAAATGATTTACTATAATTTGTGCAATATAAATGCAATATTTTACTATTTTTTGTTTTAGTTTTATGATTTTTTGTAAATATTTTCTGCTTTTTTTGTTAATTATTTTTTTCTTGATTTTTTTTTTTTTTTTTGTTGTAAATAAAGTTATAATTTGATTATATATATATATTGGAATTAATAAGTGTAGATTTAAATTATTTTTGATGGCCTTAAATCTAGAGTTCCACACAAAGGGTTTCGACTGATTTTGGGGTAAATTATATAGTATATTTGAATTGTATTTTTTTAGCTTATAATTTAAAAACCCACACAAAATTAAGACTAAATCCAAGTCTTAGGGCCAATCAAAATCTTAAAGAGAGACAAATTTTGATTTTTGAGTATATAATTTAAGAGTCAAATTAATTAGATATTGACGTTATTTGGCCATTTAATTTTCCTCCATTACAATTATCCTTTTTTATACCCTCCACCATAGTATGGAGGGTATATGATGTTTGTCATCCGTTTGTGACACCTTGAAATATACATTTTAGACCCCTCAAAGTATATATATTCTTGATCAGTATAAAATTCTATGTCGACTTAGCGATGTCCGTTGGTCTATCCGTCTGTGGAAATCACACTAGCTTCCGAGCGAAATGAAGTAGGTTGATAGCATTTTACTCAAATGTGTATTATGTCTGAAGGGCTTTTGGTATTGAAAATGGGTAATGTAGGTCCACGTTTAGGTATAGCCCCCATATAATGGTGCCCCCCTTTTTTCGGTGTTTTGATGATTTTAGCGACATTATTTACCGGAATTGTTTCAAATTTGGTGTTTGAAGTTCGGAATGAATACTACAGCCTATGACAGAAAATTTTCTGTGCAGGTCCACGTCTTCGTATAGCCCCAATATAACGGAACCTCACTATATTCGGTATTCTGATGATTTTAGCTACATTATACACCGATTTTTTTTTAAGTTTCGCATATGAATATTGTAAAGTCTTATGACAGAAATTACCTATGCAGATCCATGTCGCCGTATAGACCCTAATATTGCAGCTACATTTAAGATTGTAACCGAATTTTTAACATATTTTATTGTTTTTGAGAATTGCAAAATTCGTTCCAAATGGTGGAGGGTATTCAAAGTTCGGCCCGGCCGAACTTACAGCTTTTTTACCTGTTTTTTTTAATGTTTAATGATCTTTCCAATTTATGAATTGTTAGTATCTTTGTTTTTAACTTAAGTATACATCGTTTTGATAATGCAGTATTGTATTTCATAAATCTGTGATTAAAAAAGAAATATTTTCTAAATTTTACTACTCAGAGTATCAAAATATTTTGTTCACATTTTCTTGCATATATTTTGTTACTAATCTATAATTATTAACATTATAAAAATGTTGGCTTAAATTCCCAACTAATAAATATTTTCTAAAATAATCTCCATTTTTCCCGAATTATGCTCCTGCTTTTGAAACTATCACACATCCTGAGTTAAGTATAACATAAACTATATAAAACCCGTTATAACTTATCAGTAAATTATGTCAATAATATTAAACAAATAAATCCCAAAAAAAATATTAACATTTATCCATACAGTATTGAGAAGTGAGAAATTAAAACAAACAAAAGAAAACCAAACCCTAACTAATAATTTTAATACTCTAGTTTTTTTAAATAAACAAAAAAAAACCAACAGGAAATTCATATATAAATAAAAATTAAATATGCATCTCTATAACTATCAACAAAATAAATAAAAATAAAGAAATAAAAACAATTATTCAAATTCATATCATGCTTCTGAGAATAGATCAAGTGTTTCATTTAGAATTATTCCTGTTCGATTGAATTTTGTTTGTCTCGTTTTAAGAAGAAACAAGTATGAGAAAAACATTATGAAAAATAATTAAAAACAAATTTCCAAAGAATATTATTATGAAAATAATTGTGTAATACAAAAAGAGAAATAATTAAAATGAAATAAAATGACAACAAAATGAAACGCATGATGACAACAACATTACCAAATACCCAAATGCAAAACATGTATTATAACTATAGAGTTAATAACGAAAAACAAAATCTTTAAGTACATACTACAAAACCCGATATTGGTGATTTCTATTTAAAGAAATGATTTCGAAATGTTTTCTTTAAAAGGAAAACATCAACAACTGCTCCAAATACAATATAATAAAAATAAATAAATGCATAATTTAACAAATCTATCAATCATGTTTGTATTTTCATTGGGAAAAACAAAGATCGTTAAAAAAATAAATAAAAAATACAGGGTGAGATGAAAAAACTGCAACCAACTTCAGACTGCTGTCATTTCTAAGCCACTCGTGCGACAGCTGTTAAAATGTTTTCAGTGACAGGTCATTATATTGTTTACAGGCGTACAAAAGCATTTTGGTGAGAATTTTTCAGAAAAAAAGTTATTAGAGATGGAATTTAAGCGTGATAGTGTAATTTCTTTATATTTGGCTGGAAAACCACATGTGGCTGTGGCGTTAAAAAATAGACTCAAAATAGCTAAAGAGTTGCTTCGCTTGGCCGAAAGTGATAAACTGGCGAATTTGGTTTTCTCCGATGAGAAAGCATTCGTTTTCCACCATTTTGTAAACAAACAAAATTATCGTGTTTACTTGCAAAGAGGGCACCTGAAAATCTTCACCTTCGGTTGGCCAACAGAACTCAAGCGCAAGTAAAAATTATGGCGTTTGATTTTGATGCAGTTTTTATTTCACCTACTACAGGGTACTTTTCGTACAATTAAAGTACACATTTCCGAAACCACCTCCATATATCCAGGCTACACATGAACAGTGACCCTTATATCAAATTTCAAGCACAATCTTTTCACCCAATACAAAATGGTACGAAATATAGTATTTTTAGTGCACTTTTTGTACCCATTTCCAAAACTCAAACCAACCACCAACAGGGACCCCAATACAAAATTTAAAAATTCCAGCTTCATTCGTTGACCCTAAACAAAACTGTTCCAAATTTAGTACAGTTCGCACACTTAGTACACGTTTCCCGCTTTCCTATATCAAGCTGTTTCGATTCTCATACCAAGTGCCAAATGGAAAATTTTTTGAGCTTTTCGTAACCTTAAAATTCGAATTTCCAAAACCCCTAAAACTCGGAATGTGTCTAAAAAAATATATAAATGTAAAATTTATAACTTCGATGTTCTGAAAAAAAAAAATTGGAAAAAAATTAAAATGTAACAAATGTGGAATTGAAATAATTTTTTTATAAAAAATTCAAGTTGGTCTAAAAAAAGTTTTCTAAAAGATTCCAAGTTTGTATCTCCGATGGCCTTAGTTTTTTAATCCTCGTATATAGTTCCAAAAGTCTTGAAAAAATATTCTTAAAAATTTCACGTTTATGGTTCTATTGGTCTTCGAAAAAACTCTGAGGTTGATAGAAAAAATATTCTTAAAAAGTTCACGTTTTTTGCTTTGATGGTCCATGAAAAATATTCTTAAAAATCCCTGGTTAAAATATTTCAAAATCAACTTTTTTGGGACTCTTCTATATTGTTTCCTCTTGTTACATTCCATCCCACCGTGCTCATAATCAAGTGACACGTTGAGAATATTTAATGCTAATAGAAATGCAAATGTAATGCCTTAAACTGTTTACGATGACACCTTTTCCTGTTTGTACTCCCCCCCCCCCCCCCCCACACACACACACGCTCGCACACTTCCCTTATTAAGGGTTTTATTATGTTTATCTACTTTGGCAAGGGCTTGTGGTAAGCGACATGTTCACATAAGTAAATTTGTATGTACATACATATGTAGTTATCTCTTGAGTGTCTTACCAAACACACATACTCACGCTTGGTTTGGCTACCTGTACATAATGAGGGTTTCCCAAGAATAGCGGCGGCAGTAATCAGTAATCCAAACCAAGTTCAACCACAATGACTTCGACTTTGACTGACCGAAGAACGGTAGAAGAACTGACAACCCGCAACACACATGGCAAAAGTTTTTAAATTTATTAATTAAATTTGTTTTCATAACCGAAGGGGGAATATGACAACATATGAGTGGAATCGCCCCTCCAGAAAAATTGAGTGGATTTTGTTCGCTCTGTTTGAGCCACAAAATGTCTGTCTCAAAAAATAAAGAATACGAAGAGACTTTTTGGCAAAATTCATATCGCCGACCCAACATCTTTTTCAATTAAATAAATATGTCCAATTTAATGTCTACATTGTGTTCGTGGAAGTTGGAAGTCTCTTCTTCACAGTTAACAGGCTAATATTAAATTTATTATCAGATCATTACCACACCCACCCTAGGAGTCAGTCAGTTCCGCAGTTCTGCATAAAATAGCTAGTCATACTTATATACATATATATATAGATATGTATGTATGTATGTAAGCGTGCTTCCATACAATATGAGAGACATGTCATGATGACACACATTGTCCCCACTTTTCCAGAATTTTGCTGCAAAGCTCATGTGTGTTGGGTCTGCCGCCTTAAGAGGTATTAATTTATTTAATTCGGGATTTATGATGTTTATTATGTTTATAAGAAATGTTTTTTTTTTCGAAGTGAGGGTTTTGATTGCCATCGTATTGGGCCTCATCTTGCACCAGAGAAGTTGATTTTTTAAGAAAATTTTGAAGGACTTTAGGTGATTTTTCAGATTTATTTTTATTTTGTCTAATCTTTAAATATTTTACGCACCATCCATTATTAACTGCTAAAAATGTGGAAGTTTTTTTTTAAAATATTTTTTATAACATCAGAACTATAAATGTGGATATTTTAGGAGTATTTTTCCAACAACATCTATTTTATAAATCGGGATTTTATGAAACATTTTCGAACATCAGATTTCTAAACTTGGATTTGGAATGGATTTTTTTTCAGCAATATCAGTGATTTAAAAAAAAAATTAGCAACGTGATTTTTCAAAACTACAATTTTCAATTTTATATTTTTATATTTCCCCCAACAACACCAGAATTAAAATTGTTGATTTTTTAAGAATATTAATTCGAACAACATCATAGCTATAAACCAGAACTTCTTGAACTTGAAAATATTTTTAGCAACATTAGAGCTATATATCGGTCTTTAAGAATATTTTTCCAAAAACATCAAAGCTGTACACGTTTAAGAACATTTTTCCGAGCCCATTGGGGCTATATGAATCTGTCAAGGTCTATAAACATTAATTTTAAGGAATATTTTTTTCCAACAACAATAGACCTATAAACATGTTTTTTTTTTTTTAAGAAATTTAAGCTCCATCAGAGGTACAAACGTGGATGCTTAAGAATATTTTTTTTCGAAGAGCATCAGAGCTATAAACGTGAGTTTTTTTTAAGAATATCAGAGATATAAACCTAAATTTTTAAAAAAATACAGGGTGAGATAAAAAAAACTGCAACAGAGCCAAAAAATTTTTGATTTAAAGCAAAAAAATGTCGGAAGTAGCATCAAATTTTAGAATAAGTTTTAATTTTTTCGAATTGGTCACCTTTGGCACGAATTATGGCCTTCAAACGGCCAACGAAACCGCCACACGCTACCCGAATGATGCTCTACGGTATTTTGGCCCATTCCCGGCGAATCGCTTGCTTGACGTTATCGACACTTTGGCATTTTTTAGTGCCAACCTTGCTTTTCAAAATACTCCAGACACAATAGTCCAACGGATTGGTATCCGGAGATTTTGGTGGTTATGGTGCGCTGGAAATGAAGCAAGGAACCTCATTTTGTAACCATTCTTAGGAGACGGATGCTGAGTGCGTTGGTGCTGAGTCCTGTTGGAATGTCCAAGGTCTGCGGCCAAAATGTTTGCGTGGCCAAGGCTTTAATACACCCTCCAGATTCGGCATGTATTCTAATGCCACGGTCGATTAATACAAGCGAAGAGCGACCATCGTCTGTTATGTCGGCCCACACCATCACCATGTCCGGCGCTTGAGTTCTGGTGGCCAACCGAAGGTGCACATTTTCAGCTGACATCTTTGACAAGTGAACACGATCATTTTGTTTGTTTACAAACTGCTGAACAACGAATGTTTTCTCATCGGAGAAAACCAATTTCGTCAGTTCACCACTTTCGGCCAAGCGAAACAACTCTGTAGCTCTTTTGAGTCTATTTTTTTTCTGTTGCGGTGTAAGTTCTTGCACTTTTTGGAAATTCAATGGTTTTACCCCGACCTTATCCTTCAATATTCAGCTCAAAAGCCATTTTTCGGCCACTGCGACGCGGGTTTCGATCAAGTTGCTTCTTTACTTTTCCAACCTTTTTTTCTGATGTTGCTGTTTCCTTCCGTTCACTTCCTTGACGTCGGGATACGCTACCATTATCACGGTAACGAGCGATGGTACAAGACACAAAAGATTTATTCACATTTAAATGTTGGAGTGCTCTAACGATAGCCATTTGTGGTTTCCAGCCAAATATAAACAAATCACACTATCACGCTTGAATTCCATCAGGAATAAGTTTTTTTTTTTCTGGAAAATTCTCACCAAAATGCTTTTGTAAACAATATAATAAGCTGTCACTGAAATAATTTTAAAAGCTGTCGGACAGGTGAGTAGTGTGCTTATGGGGATGTTGGGAATTCACCACGATTTATCACGGCAAATTCTATTGGGGATGTTGATTTGGGTAAATTCACCACGGTGAATTTTAATGGGGATGTTGTCTTGGGAATTGTACCACGGCAAATTCTATTGGGGATGTTGATTGGGGGAAATTCAGCACGGTGAAATATATTGGGGATGTTGTCTTTTGAAATGTACCACGGTGAAATATATTGGGGATGTTGTCTTTTGAAATGTACCACGGTGAATTATATTGGGGATGTTGTCGTTTGAATTGTACCACGGCAAATTATATTGGGGATGTTGTCTTTTGAATTGTACCACGTCAAATTTTATTGGGGCTGTTGGCGTTGGTGTTGCTAGTTTTAATATGAACTACTAGATGGCGCTAAGTTTAGCGCAGACACAATCCAAAACTGTGTATGGGATGGTGAAATTTCAAGTTTTAATATTCACCACTAGCAGAGACACCCTCCGAAAAAAAAAATGTATTATGATCATATCGAGTGGGACTAAAGAGATTCACCATGTGAGAAGTGAATATAAGTAAGAGGTAAGTATCGAAGAAAATCATTTTATCTAGATGGCTCTCAGAATGCTTTTATATAGTCAACATGTTGATTACTGCAGTCAAATGTGCTTATTAATTTATTTGAAAACATATATTTCAAGAAATCGACTTCAATAAATGTGATATATTATAGAAGAGTTTCAATTGACAAATATGCTGCAATTATTGATATTTCAGGGGTTTTAAGAAAAACGATAACGAAGTCGAGTGGGTTGAACACGAAAATCAGCATGTTGGCTATGCAAAACATGATGAGATAAAAAGACAAAACTAACTTTTCGTTGTACTTGTTTTAATTTGTCTATAATTTTAGCGACTCAAAAATGTTCAGTTATTCCCATCGAAACGATATAGGCGACATCTAACGGTGAGTTCCATCCATACTATCCATAAATTATGTTGTAGCATAGACACACTCCAAAACTATTGAAATATGATCATATCGAATGGGGCTAGAGAGATCCACCATATGAGAAGTGAATATAGCAGAGACAAATTTGGTTAGTATCATAGTCAACAAGAAGATGTGTGTTCTATTATTTTGTCCAGATGGCTCTCCAGTCATTTCCCTCGAAACGATATAGGCGACATCTAACCACCAATTAATGTTGTAGCATATACACACTAAAAAAATGCTGCTGTAGCCAATCAAAGCAAATTCTTCTTGTGTGGACAGGCATTTTGATACATTATATCGATCGCTTTTTGATAGTTTTGTCGATGAAGAATTTGTTTACATTATGTAGCAATTTGAGAGAATTGAAACTGAAAGAGTTTCATGACAAACCCTGCATCAATTCGGTATTGAAGATTGAAGGGATTTGAAGAAGGAAACACCATTGTTTACATTAACTAACAATTGGATTTCTGTGAAATGGATATGAGAATTTGGGGGGAAGCGTTGTTGCAGAGTTTCATGACAAATTCTGCTTCAATCACAGAATTTCTATTTGTTTACAAAATGTAGTCAATAATGTATTGATTGGATTGGAAGAAATTTCAGTACTCAACAAGTCACAGATTAATAAGCATCGTTTCTTAATATTCTTAAAAAAGTTTTTATAATGTCTCAAAAAATTTGTTGGTCATGCAGCCTTTATTACAAGGAAAAAAATGAATTTGTGAAACATATGAAAAAGCATTGTATGTTTTGTGATGTTTTATGTGAAAGTGTAAACGATTTAGAATTGCACTTAGAGAACCATCATGGAGATGAGCATGTAATGAAACAAAATCGAGATCAACAACAAGAAAAACTAAAGCAGCAGCATGAAAATAAATCAGCTGTGAAGGTGGAAAAGTTTTGTGGTGATTGTGATAAAATTGTGAATAATATACGATCACACGTTCGTAGCGAAGAACATCGATCCACCGTGAGAAAAAATCTGGATTCTGACATAAAAATTGTTAAAAGTGCATTTAACAAAAATATACTCAGCTATGAGATACAAAACAATAAAGACATTTTGTACCCGATCGATTTTCTTAATGCTTCAAAAGAATTAATAATTAAAACCTTGAAAAATGAGTTAAACGGTAAAACGCTCATAAAATTTAATATGGAACTCCAAGGACTGTATGTGAAACCAAACAATGAAAAAGATGGACCTTCAACTTCCAAAGAGTTAACTATTGAAAATATATTTAATCATATTTCAAAAACAACGCTATTAACCCTGGGAGATGATTTGGAAGAGGTCGTTTTCAACCACTGTGTGGAAATTATAGCTAAATCAGAAGAGTTCCAAGAAAGAGGCTCTAATTGGGCCCTGGAGAAACTTTTAAAACTTGACATAAATGTGTTGAGAGCCAACTTAACACGTGGCTCACATTATATTCCAACTCCGAAATCATTAAGCAACAAGAAGGGTGCGTGCCTTAACATCAAAAACTATGATGACTTTTGTTTTAAGTGGTGTATGGTTGTTGCATTGGGGGAAACTGCATATGGAGATCCGAGTATAACCTCTTCATATAACGTAGACATACACCAAGATGTCATTATTCTGCAGTCTGGAATATCGCTAAATTTCGAACAATTAAATTTCCCATTGGGTCTTAAATATATAAAAAAATTTGAAATGAACAACCCAGAGATTAGCGTAAATGTTTTCGGTTATGAAAACAAGTCGGTCGTTGGTCCATATTACTTAACAAAGGAGACGAAAAGCAATCACATTAATTTAATATTGCTGCACAACGAAGAAAATTTCCATTACATTTTGGTTATGGATATGTCTTGGTAATTATAAACAAAACTTATCAATCAAAACCATATCATAATAATCATGTATTTGTTCTTTTTTTTTCAGTCTTATGCGGTCTCAATTCACAAGTCATAAGGAGAAAGGTTACTTTTGTTTTGGATGCCTGCAATGTTTCCACGATGAAAATAAATGTATGACTCACAAAAAGCAGTGTGGAAAAGTAGTCTGTGCCCTGCCGAACAAAAAAGAAGCCGTACTAAAGTTCGTCAATCACAAGAAAAAGGATAAGGTGCCTTTCGTTATTTATGCTGACTCCGAAAGTGTACTGGAAGACGTGCAGGAAGATGAGAACAATGGGGCGAGTAAAAAAACGGAAAAGGTAAAGAAGCATATTCCATGTGCTTTTAGTTATTTTATTAAATGTAGTTTTAATGAAAATTTAAATAAGTTATTTATATATAGTGGTCCCGACGCAGCAAATGTTTTTCTGAAAGAACTAATTCAGGATTGTAAATTTTTGTATGATAGTTACCTAACCAAAACGAAACCTATGAATACTCTAACCCCCGAAGAAGAGACAGCCTTTCTTAGGGATATCAATTGTCGTATATGTGGCGACATTTTAGGTAACGATAGGGTGAAAGATCATTGTCACTTAACGGGGCAATATCGAGGTGCGGTACATAACCATTGCAATCTGCAATATCATCTACCTAAATTTATTCCAATATATTTCCACAATTTTTCTTCGTACGACTGTCACCTCTTCTTTAAAGAGTTAGTTGAATTTGGAGGTGAAATAAGAGTCATACCTCAAAACAAAGAAAAATATATTTCAATGTCTTATTTCATTAATATGGATAACGAGTCAACCGACTCTAGTTCTTTAAAAAGTACAGTTGTTGTAGGAGAAGAAGAAGATTCGAGTGAGGAAGATGATGAGGAATTCCAGCAAGAAGAGGAAAGTGAGGGCAAAAAAGAGAAGAAAAAGAAAATGAATAGATTAGAGCATCGTTTCTTAGATAGTTTTCGATTTATGCCTACTAGTTTGGATAAATTAGCAAGGAATTTATCTCGAGATTCTTTTGTTGCTGTCAGATCTCATTTTCCTGATGATGAATCATTTGAACTTATGACTAGGAAAGGAGTATTTCCCTACGAATATATGTCATCATTTGAAAAATTGAAGGAGAAACAACTTCCCCCTATAGACCAATTTTATAATAAGTTGACCGATACTGAATGCTCGTCAGACGATTATAGGCATGCAACAAATGTTTGGTCACATTTTCGATGTCAAACTATGCAAGACTACATGGATTTGTACTTAAAAGCTGATGTCTTGCTTTTAGCAGACGTATTTGAAAATTTCAGGAGCTTATGTATGCGAATTCACGAACTGGACCCTTGTCAATATCTCACAGCACCATCTCTATCTTGGGATGCAATGCTACTATGTACTAAAGTCGAACTTGAGCTACTCAGAGATATAGACATGTACAATTTCTGCAAAAATGGTATTCGGGGAGGGCTTACCCAGTGCTCAAACAGACACTCGGTAGCAAATAATGAAGATGCTCCCAATTATAATAGTGCCAAACCAGAGGTAAATATCTATTATTTGGATGTAAATAATTTATATGGTACAGTTATGACTGAGTGTCTCCCTGAAAAGATTTTAGATGGGTGGAGGGTTATGAAATGGAGAAATTCAATGATCCAGCTGTAATATTATCTATTCCTGACAACGCTCCTACTGGTTTTATTTTAGAGGTTGATATTGAATATCCACCGCACCTTCACGACAAACATAACGATTTACCTTTTTTGGCGGAGAAAAAGTGTGTTGAAGGCTCAAAAACTGAAAAACTGATTGCAGATTTTACTGACAAAACATCATACACCATACACTACAAATTACTTAAGCAATCTCTGAAACATGGACTAATTCTTAAGAAAGTCCATAGAGTTTTGGCTTTCACACAAAGCGCTTGGTTAGCTCCTTACATACTGAAGAATAATGAACATAGGGAAAAGGCTGAAAATGCCTTTGAAAAAGATTTTTTTAAATTATTGAATAACTCTTCATTCGGTAAGACAATGGAGAATATCGACAAAAGAAAAACTGTGAAAATTGTGACAATGTGGGTAGATGAGGCAAACCAAAGAAGAAGGAATGTTGCTAGTAAATTAATCTCGAAGCCAAATTTTCACAGCCTTTCGATATTCTCCGAAAATATGGTTGCTATTCAAATTAGGAATGTCAGAGTAAAATATGATAGACCATTGTACTTAGGGTTCTGCATATTAGATTTATCAAAGTGGGTGATGTATGATTTTCTGTATGATTTTCTAAAAGTGAAATTTGGTGAGGATTTTATTCTAAATTATATGGATACAGATTCGTTCATATTAACATTTTACGGACGAAATTTGTATTCCGAATTATCTTTAGATGAAATATTGGCTAGATTTGACACCTCAGGGTTTTCAAAAGAAAATAAATATAAACTTCCTCTAATTAATAAGAAAAAACTTGGCATGATGAAAGATGAGAATGACGGAAAAACAATGGTTGAATTTGTAGGCCTTCGTCCTAAAATGTATGCCATCAATGTAGTTGATAGCGAAGAAGTAAAAAAATCTAAGGGAGTTAAAAAGTCGGTCCTAAAAAAGTATACTATAGATAAATATCGAGAATGTCTTTATAACAAAAAGGTTTTTTACGGTACCATGTTTTCGTTTAGGTCAAGACAGCATACAATATATACAGACAAAATTACTAAAATATCGCTAAGCCATCAAGATGATAAACGATTTATTCTAGAGGATGGTATTCACACCTATGCTTGGGGCCACTATAGATTAAATAACCTTCATGAAACAAATGTAAATAACTCAAATGAATCTGTCTCAATGGACTTGGATTAAAATATAAATTTAATTATGATTTAAGTTTCAATATATAGATAAAAGAGCATAGTAATAATATTAATTTAATTGTCTTTACTCACTATAAATGTCATCATATTAATATTTTCTCGCAACACAAAATGTTTAATTTTTAAGTAAATATAAGTGTATTATATTTTAACTAGTCTTTAACTATTCTTATTATAAAATAAAACAAAATATTTTTGTTTATAAATTTATGTAAATTGCGTTTTATTGAAATATTTTTGCAAAGGTGAGTATAAAATAGATTATACTACTTTTCGTACAATTCCTGTTAATGGAACGTACTCGACCAGACGATCATGTATAATTAAACAGTACGCAGAAGTGTTTTGTGGAATTGGTTTATTGGTTTCAAATTGGATTTTTAAATCGATTGGTCCATTCTTAACAGCTTCGTTTTGATTGCTAATGTCAATAACGGCGATGGGCTTGTCTTTAAAACTTGCATATGTAAGAAGTGGTTGTGGCTCCCTCATGTAATATGATTGTTGAAACTTTGTATACATGTCATATAGTACTGCATAGCCATTTTCTTCGAACTTTACATTCAAATCATCGTAAGGATAGGTTTCAGAGTTCAAGTGAACTTTGATGTTTTTAAGTTCGCAATGTTCCAGCTTGTTGTCTTTTTCAAATATCAAAGCAACATATCGTGGTCTTTCATGATTGACAGACAATTTAACACTCCAACTGTGTTGTCTTCCACCAGCAAAAGTTGGATTAAAGTAGCAGTCCCAGCTGCGGAATGCTAAAGGCAACGCTTTTCCATCCTTAATAGTTTTCAAGAAGCTGATTTTTCTATAGTCTGATAATTGAATGTGTTGTACTTTCCATACAACATTTGTTATGGTGAGTTTAATTTCCTCCGTATCCATGGTTGAATAACACACATTTTTATCGTTGGCACTACGCAAAAGAATCAAGTCATGCTTGCTGTTGCAAATTACTTTATCAAAGTCCTCTGCGAACCCTAGTAGACGGTTTAAGGGTACACAAAAATTAAAGTATCCTACTGATAAATCATTATCAGCTTTCCATCCCGCTTTGCTCATAACCTTACTTTCGGATTCGCTTAGAGAAATCCAATTTTTAATTTCTGTAGTTATTCCTAGATAACGAGTACGATCAATTTCAACTCCATTTAGTTCATAGCGAATTTCATCAAACATGTATCCCACACAATTATTTCTCAGTCTTGCATTTTGCGATACTTCTCCCTTGCTATTTTTCAAATTTCCTTCAATGAATAGATAACTCTCCGATGGAAGTATGTAAAGATCCTGATTTTGTATACTTATCCGAATTTCATCATTATTTTTAAATGATTGAATATATGGAACATAGCTGTGGTAGTCTCTCTTTACAATATTCTCATCCGAGAATGGACGCTCATTAATGTTAAGTATTTCAGACATTTGGTTTGACTTTAAGCTTAATAAGTTTTAAAAACTCTTTATTTTCCTTTGAAATTGTAGGTCTTGTCGGTTTGACAACTTTGTGTTGAATGTGTCTTGGTATTTGTTTATGATTGTATTTATTGTAGATAATCATGATTGCATTGGTCTTATATGAATACGTAGCGTGATTTCTTCTTCTCTAAAATTTATAAAGCGACCTTCTTGATCTACTATCTTTATCTCCAGACGACCGATTTCTTTGACGTTCACTGGTAAATAAATGAGATTCATTGGTCTCTCTACCAATTTATATCCCGGAGGAACATTAAGAGCAAATTCATGTAGAATATGCGTTGGCGACCCATTCATGAATGATCCAGTTACAATATTGCAGTGTATTTGTATGGCATTAACCTTTAAAATGTCGACTTGAAGGTTTGAAGTATGTTTTTTCCCAGATTCTAAGATTTTTTCGGTAAAACCAAAAAGCTTGCCTATAGATTTTTCTTTATCAAAGTAAATAGGATCATGAGAAGACATGATTTCTACTTTTAGCGTATTATTATTTGCCTTAATTTCAATGGATCTATTCTCGTGGATAGTTTTATATTCCGTTTCCAAGTAATTCGCAATATCTTGCAATTCATAGGATCCTATAGGTATTTTTATAATATTGTCTCCAATGTGAAAGAGATTGTTATCATTATCCACATTGGGTATTGAATTGTATGATTGGAAATCTATTAGGCAACACTCATAACTACTATTTCCCAATTCAATTGGGGGTAAATATGTTGAATGTAGAATTGGAGATTTACCGGACACAGTAAACGTTCTTGACATTGCAAAATTCTTTGTCGTAATAATTGAAACACAAAATATGCATACGTATATATGGGTTTTTATTTATTTAAATATATGCTTGTATATATATGTATATCTACATATTAAGATTATATGATATGATTCTTATCTATCCATGAATTATGTTTGTCTGAGAATCCCAGCCACTTAACCAAGACTTTATTACCTTTTGTTTTTAAAATTTTCTCAACTAAATACGTGTTGGGATATTTTGTGGGTAAAAGTTCTTCTTTGTAGAAACATCCTTGGATGGGATTTCCTTCATAGTCTTCTAATAAATAAGTAGCGGGGTTTGTTATTCTTATTGTTCTTATCTTGAATATTTCCGTAGTCCAATTTGGCGTGTATCCCTTTTCAAATGATGTTTATATTTGCTAATGCGTACATGATCACCCACACGAAAGTTTTGTCTCCTAAAAATTTTTAAGTGGTTATAAGCAGATTGCAACAATGCCTTCTCATTCGATGAATTTACTTGAATAGGGGCCATTTTTATTGTTCGATGAGGTGTTTTATTGTATTGTTTAACCAATTCTCTATAAACATCAATCCATAGATAATTCCCATTATAACTGAACTCCTTCCACATTAGCGACTTCAAAGTTCTATTAAACGCTCAACAATTGAGGCCTTCAATACACTATATGTGGAGTAGTGGTTTATGGAATATTTCTGCATTAGTTTTTTAAAATCTGTGTTGAAAATTCTTTTCCATCATCGGTTTGCAAATTTTTTGGAATTCTTCCTCTTTGTAAGATTTTTTCAAAAGACATAGAAACATCCGTTGCCGTTTTTGTTTTAAGGGCTTCACACCATGCGAATTTCGAAAATGTATCGATGACAGTTAACAAAAATCGGAACCCCTTGTTTGCTTTTGAGTAAATGCCCATTTCAACTAAATCTGCTTGCCAGAGATCATCAATACCCTTTGTAATAACCCTTCGTCTTGGAAAGTTTTTTCGTGCTTGATGATGAAGTTCATTTACCAAACCCCGCTTTTCCATTGTTTTATTCGGTATGATATATTAAAGCTGGTGAGTTGAATGGAGCTTGCGATAAGGCTTTAAATATTTCGTTTTGTGAACGTTTGAGTTGTGATATTTCTTCTCTTAGGAAGGTGCACTCTTGAATGAAATTTTTCTTTAAAATTTCTTGAATGTGCTTGATTTGCGTATGTACGTATGTTTGGTTGACCGCATCCGCTCCTTCTGCTGGAGATGCAACATTCCTAATCTTTTTATTTTGCACGTTAAGGTTGTTATCTTCATCAATATTGACTCCCAATAATCTCGAAACATTTTCTCTCACTGCTATTGATTGATTTTTTTGATTGTAATGATGTCCAAACTTGTCAACAGTCATATGTTGTATGCTCCTTGAGAGTATTATTTAATATATTATATTTCCTTCTCGCAGTTCCTCGATAATAGAAACAATTTCATTAGTATGGTTATTGTTTCCGGCTTGTTGTGATGCCAACAACAGCTTTAATCGTTCTATCAATTCGTTG